TTCCTAATCCATCTAACATGACTCACTGGAAAATTAATGCCTCTGTACCTTTACATACACTACTGCTTCTGTTTGGAAGGTCCTCCCCAGACCCCAAACTCTTCTTCCTATGGCTAAGTGGCCCTTTTTAAAGATTCAGCTCAGGCATTGTTTCCTCCAGAAAGCCTTCCTTGATGCCCCATGCCTCCCTCCACTCAATCTGGCTTCTGTACTCCTCTTCTAATACACTATAGGGCTTCTGTTATAGTCCCTGCTACCTTGTCTATCTCCCTATCTCTACTGTAAGCTCCTAGAGACAGTGTGTCTAGTGTCTAGCATAGTATCTAGCACATAGCATGAATGCAATAAGTGTTTATGAATAAATGAAACATGAATAATAAGGGAACATTTGCATAGCTATTTAAACACAATCCTTTTGAAATACTCTTTTTTCTTTGAAAAATAGGCTTTTTTTTAAGATCTTAAAAGCGATAATGCTGATTGCAGCAATTTTACATACAAAAAATTCATGTAAGAAAATAAAAACTGCCTGTAATCTTACCACCCAAAGAAAACCACTTTTAACATTTAGATGCAGTCCTTTCCAGTAATTTTCTACATGTATGTATATATACCAAATCACAATCCTATTTTTATACCTAATTTTCTCAAAGATTGTAACAGTAACTTCTGGAGGTAGAGGTGGCATTTTTACCCCAATTTAAGTGATGGGAAAACTGGAATACCAAGATACACATCTAATTAATGGCAGAGTTAGGATAGAACTCATGAATCTTATCATAGTTCCAGGCTCCTGCTGTTTCCCAGGTGCTGTTTTTTTTTTTTTGTTTTTTTGTTTTTTTGTTTTTGAGACAGAGTCTTGCTCTGTTGCCCAGGCTAGAGTGCAGTGGCATAATCTTGGCTCACTGCAACCTCCACCTCCAAGGTTCAAGCGATTCTCCTGCCTCAGCCTCCTGAGTAGCTGGGACTACAGGCGCCTGCCACCACGCCTGGCTACTTTTTTGTATTTTTAGTAGAGACAGGGTTTCACCGTGTTAGCCAGGATGGTCTCGATCTCCTGACCTCGTGATCTGCCTGCCTCGGCCTCCCAAAGTGCTGGGATCACAGGCGTGAGCCACTGTGTCTCAGGTGGTGTTCTTCTTGTATCAATCCAGCATCAATGGAACATGCATTTGTAACTGGGTGTCCTTGCTCTACACAGGGAGAGATTTAAGCCCCGTGTCCACACCATGGCTCAGCAGTGCACACTGGGCATTGTCTCTAACACTTTGGAGGGAAACAAGGATGGAGCATCTAGGATCTTGTTCTAGGATCTTGCGATAGGCTCATCAACTGTGCTAGGCAGGCACCAGTAAGAGTTAGAGTTTCCTTCTGATGGCCAAATGGTATCTGAACAGCAATGGCTTGGTTCAGAGCACATTGCTATGGGAACTGCAATCACAGGTTCAATCTCACCATAGACCAGCGAGTTGTACTCCAATCCACGACTAATGACTATATTCCAGAACAATGTACACAGCAGGCACTCAATAAATGTGCATTGGGCCGAGTTGAGTGTATATTATTCATCAGGGAAAGTAGGCAAAAAGGCATGCTGACAGTAAATTTCCATACCACCGTGCCCAGTGTGGAAAAGGCAATCCAATGTGATCTAGCTTTTTATTTTATTCCAAATAAAGGACGAAATTGTAGTCCCACAAACACACATCAGATTATTAGTTCCATAGATGAATTTATGTGCATGTCCCTAGAATGCCAAGCATGAAGCCAGACACAACTGAGGTGTCCATGTTTTTTGAATTGAATTGTGCGAAGACAGCCTGGTGTGGGAGTTAAGATGTCGACTAGTAATTCACCATTCCTTTCCCTGAAAGCTCTGTAAATCAAGCTCTTAAAAAAAGCAGCAAGCTAAATTCCAAAACCCTCTCTGAGGAGAAATGCCCATGACTGGTGGGGTCTGGACTATGTCCACCAAATGTGCAGATCTCTTCTGCACAAACATCGTCTACTCCCAAGGGAGCCCGTGACTGACTGACCGGCTGTGGAGACTCACATGTCCCCTCTTTCCCAGTGTTGAGGGGGCCAGGGGAAGGGAGTGGGAGTCGAGTGATGAAGCACGGCTGAACTGAATATTCTCTTTCCAGGAGAAGGAAAATGTTACAGCAGGAGGTGGGTGGCACTTTTCTGGAGGAATAACCATGAAGAACATGGGGTATATTTGAAAATGATCTTTTCTGAGGACAAGTTTCTCTTTTAAAGAGCTATCCTCATATTCTCTCTTACCTTAGATTGGGGCTATTGAAATGGTCCTGCCAGAGCTAGGCTAAAATGCCACAAACTGGGATTAAAGTTGACTGGGCAGGGGGAGGGGTAAAATAGGATATGGGTTGAAGAGCCATAAGGCCAGGATGCTCACTTTTTCTGAATTCATTCAAGAGCACTGGTTTTGGGAGGCAACCAAAATGCAACTCACTAATTCCCTAAGCGCTTAACAAACTCTCTTGAAGATTTAATCACAATGTAAAATCCACAAGTTTTTATTGGCAGTGTTTAGTTATCAATTGCACAACTCTCTGAAGTGGCAACCAGTACAATTCCCAGGTCTGTCTCCATTACACATTCCAGGGGCCTGCTGGCAATGTGTGTCAGATTGGTGTTCTGGTCTAGCCTTGTAAATTCCTTCCAGGGGAGACTTAGGATACACTCTCCCAGCTGCCAGGTTCTCTACTTATAAGGTGCAGAATTTATTAGTGAAAAGAAAGATAAAAAGAAAGCCTGCTACCTTTTTAAGTGCTTTTACATACAGTTTCTTTATTACAGTTTGGTGTTTCCAGAAATACAGCTGCCCAGATCATTTGAGTCTTTGTGCTGAATCAGTGGAACTTGTTTTCTCTTCCCATGAATTTCTATGAGCTCTGCTCCACCGTGTATCAACTGAGGTCTTTTGTGCCATGCTTTTAAAGAAAGTCACTGGCAGCAACTCTCATTTGAGGAGGACAAAGCCATGAGGACTGACATCCTTAACTTACACATGGCCATGCAAAGGTACAAAGAGGGTTGATACGGAATCCAAGTTTGTCCAACTCTGGAAATGAAGCTTGTCTAGTCACCCAAAGACTCTTTTTCCAGTCTGTTTTCTTCTCTCCAATTTCCCAACATGCCTGGTTTCATTTCCATGCATTTAAGGCAATGTTGGCCTCAGACCACAGCAAAGACATCTAAGAGGCTACCATAAGAAATAGTGTGGTATTTAGAAAACACAATTTAGAACTGGAAAACGTGTTCCAGCTCTCTTACTACTCATCTGACCTTGGATAACTCACTCAATAATGTCACAGAACCTTAGTTTCTCTTTAGCAAAATAAGTATAAATATTCATATTTATCTCACCATGTTATTTTCAGAGCAATTTTATGACAAATTGCAATTCTCTGATTTATGTTTATTTATTTTCCATTTATCAGTACAGTTCACTATATTATAAACTCCAAGAGTTCAGGAACCTTGTCTTTTTGGTTCACCACAGTGGCCCATTGCCAGGAACAGCAATCAGCACATAGTACCTGATCAAGAAGAGTGAATGAAATTTGAATGAGTGATGAAAGGAATAAAGGAAAAAAGGAAAGAAAGGAAAAAGAAGGACAGAGGGAAGTGTTCAGAGCATTGTAGATGCCATTTATGAAAGTGATCTGTACATTGTTAAGTATTATCTGCATCCTTTATAACTAACATTTGATGCGTTAATTATGCCAGGGTGAGCTGTTTAAAATGTAAGTAGATCATGTTACTTCCCTAATTAGGCCTTCCAATGGCTTTTCATACTATTTACAAGTCAACTCCTTTCAGCATACAAAGCCCTAGGTGATATGACTCCTGCCTGCCTCATTTCCAACTTCTCCCCCTTCCTCATCATGCCCCGGTCACCCTAGTGTTCTTGCGTTTCCTCAAATGTGCCAGGTTTGTTCTTGCCTTGGAGCTTTTGTGTTAGTTTCTTCCCCAGCCTGGAAAGTTAGTTATAAAGGATGCAGATAATACTTAACAATGTACAGATCACTTTCATAAATGGCATCTACAATGCTCTGAACACTTCCCTCTGTCCTTCTTTTTCCTTTTTTTCCTTTTTTCCTTGCCCCTCCCCAGCTAGCGTCCCTCTGTTAAATGAGGTGGAATTGGATCATCTCGAGGGGGGATCCCAGCTCTGAAATTCTATGACTTGATGAGAGCAGTCTGATCTTTTGTCATGACCATGACTTCTGTGATAAAGGATAACCCGTGTAATATTTCTGATAAGCGTAGATTTTCTGGTCTGTGGAATTTCTCTGATTGGCCAATAAGGTCACTAGACAAACCCATATTTCTGCTTTTGCCATTCTAGTTTATTTTTCTCTTTCCTTTTCTTTCCTAGAGAAGTTGACACTCTTAGTAAATTCCCTCATTGTCACATAAGGCTCAACATCTAACTGTAATTGCACTTCAGCCACTCCTCAAGAGATGGGTTCCTAGTGTGTCTGATCTTGGCTAACACTCCCCCATCTGCTTTCAACATGTTGCATTTGATGTCAACTAATGTCTCCTATTAGCATTAAAATAAAACAATCTGGAAAAATTCACTCTCAAGCAGAGTTCAAACAGGCCACAAGTAGATGGGGAATCTCAACTGCACAAGGATTGTTAAAACAATAGTAATAAATATACAAATATGTATAAATGAATGTATGTATATTTCATACTGTACATACATATGTATGTGTATATATAAAAGTGAGTGAGTGACTAGATGTGTGTGCATGTGTGTATGTGTATGTGTGTGTGTGTGTGTGTGGTGAAGCCAAAAGTCTGTGAAATGGATCAAGGGAACGAAGACAAGAATGTTTCTGTTCAATTAATGAAATTAACTGGTAACAGCAAGAGGAAAAATATTCTCCTAGTATGGAACAAGGCATGATCAAAATAACTGAATGATATGGAAAAGGAGTTGGGAATCTTTATCCAACACTTACTGGTAATGGGTTAAAATTCTGGTCCACGAGGTGATTGTATCCATGGTCAAAAAATGAGTGCCGTATCACAACATCAATGCCCTGATTGGCCAGCATTCCTAAAGTGTTCAACCATCTAAAAGGCAGAGAAAAAGAGCTACATCAATATATTTTTAAAACAGCATACAACAAGCTCTATGGAGATTGGCTACTATATATACATATACACCAATCTCCAGTCACCAAATTTACCTAGTACTTTGAAGAAGGTTATTTTAAGCATTAAATTCACAGCTGTAATATATTTTAGAGATTATCAAATCCAAACTCTGCATTTGATAGAAAAAGAAACAGAGGTCTAGGGGAGTAAAATGAACCACTCTTGATCATTAAATAGTTTGTTGTTAATGACTTAACTTTTTATTCCTGAAATAGTAACAAATGAACACCCTAGCCATTTGTAAGCCTAATATCCCTCCTGGCCAGAGGACATACAATTACAGACAGAGGAGCACACATTGTGCATTCCATCCCTCAAACTCCCCTGCTTATACCCTGTCCCTGAACATGTACCTTTAACAGAACTCATATACTCCTATGACCTATGCAAATATAGTCTAGTCATTAGCAACCTTCATATATCACTGTCAGTAGTCAATGCAATAATAATTTTCCTTGGCACTATAAGTAACTCTTCAGGGATTCAAGTATGCTACCATCACACATATTTCGCAGTGGAGGATCTGCGCTGTTCACACACTTATCATCTATCCCACTGTGCCAAACACCCATTTTCCAGGGCATGCCATCCTTCAAAAATACTGCCTTCTTGGTTCTTCCACACTGCTGACTCTGCCTTCGTTATTTACACTTTCAGCTCATTCATCCATTCATGCATTCATTTGGGGTTCTCTTTCTCTTCCTACTTCTGAAACTTAGGGAAACTTCTACTTGTAATAATACATGGAATAAATGTGGCTTAGAGATTCAGTCTTCTCTACATGTAAGATAAGGCATTTCACAACTTGTCCTAAATATATGTGTGTACAGCTTTATTTACCTCTTCCCCATCTTCTCTCACCCTAAACCCCATTTCCCACAGGCTCCAAGACACATGAAACTACTCTTGGCTACCCAAATACACATTGCTTTCTCACACTTACCTAAGTCCTTATACATGTTTTAATTTCTGCTTAGAGCTCCCTTCCACTCTTCTTTCAACCTATCCCTTTTTGTCTAGCAAATTTCTTCTCATATATTAATCTCCAAATCGAGTGTCATTTTATTCTAAACTCTGCTGCCCCAGCCAACAGTGGTACCTTCCTCTGTACTTCCCCAGATCTCTTATTCATGCCCTCAGAAAGTCCACAGAAAGAATCACTTAACTTACTTCTCTCCCTTTCCCCTGTCAGGTATGAGCTCATCAAGCATAGACATAATGTCTGAACTTGTATTCCAAACACCCATCACCATTCCTGGCACACCATAGGTACTCAATACTCTGTTGACTTGAAATCTGTCTGGATAAAATTAGATTCTCGGAACTTTGAGAATCACCATTTAGCACACTGGGGAAAATTACACATACTTATGATTTCCCAAATCTGAAACCATATGGAGCTCCAAACCCGTGACTTGAAGAATTACATTTTTTTCCTTGCTGGGATAAAGGGCATTGCTAATTTTTATATTGTGAATAAATATTATTCCTATATTCAAATATTTTTTACATCTACAATTATATTTTATTCTCATAAAAACTAACAAATATTTACTGACAATTAGAGTTACAAAAATAAAACAAAACAAAAAGTAAAGCAAAACACAAAAGTTTTAAATCAAAAAGGAAAACTGAGTATAATATAGTAGAATCATTTTTGTTGTTGTTCTTCAAATTGGAACATTGTGACCCAGGAATTGAAATTACTTTTGGAACATAACATGGCTAAGCAAGCTACTTGCCTTCATAATTTTTATTAATTTGGTAATCCTATAAAATCAAGATATCAGCTTTAGCTTTTCCTTTAGCCACTGAGACATACTATGAAATGCCTTGTCAAAGGCTGTCCTGTGGTAGAACTATAACCAGAACCCATGGCTTTCGGAATAGAATGGTTAATACAAAAGATACCTTCATCTTCCTCCTATAATAACAAGCCCCCTCAGAAAGGGAAAGAAATGGTTTCCCCAGGTTCCTTTCTATGTTAAGCTACAGAGAGTTGATAAAATGACTGGTATATCTAACCAAAGATGCTACCCTGCCATTATTTTCCACTCCACTAAAGGTGAATATCTACTATGTGCCAGACACTATTAGGTGCTTGAGACATAGCAGTATGCCAAGAGTATTTGTGGTCCACCAAAGAATCTCAAAGCCCTAGCTGGGAAACACTACTCTTGAACACTTGGTAGCAGAGAATCCTGATTTATGCATACATGCATGTGTATATGTCCTGGTGAACTCAGAGTTACGTGATATATTAACATTTCAAAAAGGCTGGAAAAATGTCTTCTTTTCAATTTCTTGCTAGCCTCCTAGAACTTCCTAGAATGCTTTACTGCTCTCCCACCCCTCCCATCCCCAACAGGAAGCAATTTCTGCCCCTTGGAGAACTGAACTCAAAGGGCACATTGCTGGGTGCTGCCAGTGGAATTGAGATCAAATGGGTGACAAAGAAGTAAGAGAAATTGGGAGCAGAATAAACTAGTTTTCATCTGATCTGTGTCAACTAAGCATTGGATATCTGAATTACAAACAGAATATAAACTACTATGTTCATCCGTGTTCTGCAAAGTGATTGTAGGAATCTATGGCTATTTGGCTGATGCTCATGAAAAGGCAGTTCTCTTTTTCAACTTCCTCCATGAAGGTCTGCAGTATTTCTCATTCCTTATCATTCCCTAAAGGGAAGAATGCTCACAAAACCACTCAGTACAACTGGGCTGCTTGCTGGGCCCTGTAGCAGCATCCTATAGTGACTGCTGAGCAAATGTCATTCCTCTGCTGATTCCAAGGGGGCCCCTGCAGCACTGACGCCCTGGCTTCTCATCTTTCAACGGGTCTCATATCAAGCCAGTGGAGAGTGGGAGTGTACTTTTGTGGGGTTTTTTTTGGGGGGAGTGGGGTGGAGGATGGAGTCTCGCTCTGTTGCCCAGGCAGGAATGCAGTCTCAGCTCACTGCAACCTCTGCTTCCCAGATTCAAACGATTCTCCTGCCTCAGCCTCCCAAGTAGCTGGGACTATAGGCGTATGCCACAATGCCCAGCTAATTTTTGTATTTTTAGTAAAAATGGGATTTCACCATGTTGGCCAGGCTGCTCGAACTCCTGACCTCAAGTGATCTGTCCACCTTGGCCTCCCAAAGTTCTGGGATTACAGGTGTGAGCCACCGTGCCTGGCTGGGAGTGTACTTTTGAAAGAAGATTCTTAATGACACTATATCAAAGGTGACTCACTCCACTTCATGCATTTGAACCATGCTTGCTGCCCATGTCTGTGCTACACAATGTAAGATGCTGAGGACACAGAAATGGAAGACCCAAGGTATCACCATGAATTACACTGACTCATTTTCTTTATCTGCATTTGCCAGACCTCCATCTGTAAAGGCAATCCACTTAACTGGCCTGATTTGTCCTTCATTAATGTATTAAAGAAGTTACCTCTATACAGGGGAACCGAAGCTGCATAATTAGGAACAGCTGTTAGTAGCAAAACACACAGCTGAGGGCAAAGCTACAGTTCTTAGGAGGACATTGCTCAGTCAAAAATCCAAGGCCACAGGACTGTACTGGAGCAGGAACAAGTCACTTATTTAGTGGTCCTGAGGGGTTTGTCCCTGCCACATGACACTGGCAAGCTAATGAGAGGCCCTTATGCTTCTGGCTTAAGTCATTCTCCAGATGACTGTAGTAGCCTTCAAATTCATTTTCCCATTCCTTCCCAACTTTTGTGAATACCATTAACAAAGCCAAAGTCAGAAAAAACACAAGTCAGATTCTCCAGATTTTCTCTCTCTCTCTCTTTCTCTATCTCTCCTTCACAATCTTCAATGGCTTACTGTGAATATAGAACAAGGCCTCACTTCCTCTACTGGGTTTTCAAGACCTTCTGTAATTTGGTGGTAAACCCTTTCCTGAGTCTCAGCCCTCATTGCACCCTCGCAGATAACAAGGCTTTAGTCACATTAGCCATTCTCTGCTCCTCTGTGCCTTTGCTCATAATGTTTCTTGGGCTTAGAAGGCTCCCTCTGCCATCACCATGACTCCCACCTATAGAAATTAGAGTAATCCTACTATGCGGCACTCATGCCATTTTTTCCATGAAGTCCTTCCTGATACTCCCAGTCACAGAAATTCTTTATTCCTTTGCATGTCTATCATTTTTCTTTTGTAGACGGACCATGTGAGGCAGAAAGGCAGGTGGTCTGCTGCAGTGGTAAAGGAGCTGCACTCTGGAGCAAACTGCCTGGGTTTGAGTCCAAGCTGTGCCACTAACTAAATGAGTGATCTTGGATAAGTTACTTCACCTCTTTCAGTTTTCTCATCCATAAATGGGATAATAACAGCATCTATTTCACTAAATTGTTATAAAAGCAGTAGCATCTATGTCATTGGCTGTTAAATTATGAAATACAAATAAAGCACTTCAGACAGTGGTAAGCACCGTATTATTAAAAGTATGATTACTATGGCACTTACCTCCTACAGCTTTACAATGTAGTTATCGCCTATCCCAGTTCCACCAATCATATTTTTTCTGGAGGGAAAAAACCATGCCTTATTGTTACCTATCTCCCAAGACTATAGTGAAAATTGGCTTAGAAAATGTATGTTGTTTACACTATGTTTTGAACTTTAGACAATCAATAAAGCCGTTATTACTATAATTATTACTGTTACTAATATTACTTACTATAATCTTTGTTCTGATGCCTGTGCCTGACATTTTAATATCTAGAGAAGGCGTTGATCATTGTTGAATGGTTTAAGACATACACAAATGAAGGAAATGAACTTTCAACAGGAAACATGCCTCACCCCTTGGATGGGCAGAATAATCAGCAATATCAGAGATTCACTGTCCTTTCCTCCTGAAAGCCCCGGGGGTGAAATTTCAAGTGTTACTCACAAGAATCCTGCAGCATAGGAATCTGATAGATTGTTCGTGCCTCCAGCTGAGGTGGTCACCACACCTTCAAGCCAAATCTTCTTTCCTGGAGTGTATGTATTAACCACCTGTTTACACAACAAAAGCAGAAGGGGATAATGAGGTTTTAAAAACTATTCCCACATGAGAAGAAACATACATTCCCTTAAGGAAGTTGATCTGATTTCCTGTTTTCAGGGGGTCATGATTTGTGCTTTTTAATGATGATGCACCCAGTTCAGTGAGTTGGCATTCACAAACCAAAATGCATTAACATTGACATGTGCCACTTAAAGAAATTATCATTTTTCCCTAAGTAAACCCAACTGACAATGTGACAGAACAAGTGCATACTCCAGGATGTAAACTGACTGCAGTACTTTCCACTAAAAAATATAAATCATATTGTGTTTCCAAATTACCAAGCATTGAAAAACAATGCTTTTCAGTCTCTCTTATAGCACATCTATGACACATGCACTACCTAAAAGCCACGAATGCATCACAAGCATCAAAAGTCACAAATCACAAGAAAGTAGAGAGAATGTTCGCGGGAGATGTATTTTATAATTACTAGTGCAGGTAGATTGTAATCATATTTTGAAAATAACTGCAGTAAGGGTAAAAAGAAAAGTCACTGACCCACAAATGACACATTCACACAGGGAATAACTGCATGCCTTCTAAGCAGAAGCAAAACTTCTTGTCGAAAGGTAGCACGCTGAAGATTTGAAATGGTCCAGTCTCTGACCCACAAGGTGAAGACTGAGCAAACTATTCAGATCAGGGTGAAGATGCTCTGGATTGCAATCTGGTGGCACTTAGGAGTAAGATTGTATGCTGGGTAGCCCCTGAAAGCAGGGCCTGAGTCAAAGTGCTGGCAACTACTCAGTCTCACAGGGATCTTGGTAAGAGCCTTACAGACTGTGTCTCAGAACTGACCCCCAAGGGGGTACAAGAGAAAGCATGAGTAGCCTTGTGACCATTAACCCCTTGCTCCTCTATCCCTATTTCAAGTGCAGGCCTGAGTGCTGAGTAGATTCTCTGAGTGTTCCTTCCTCATCTCTGCCTCAGAGAAGGAAATAAGAAGTGAGGTACTACCTAGTACACTGACACCTAGCTGGCTGCAGCCTGCATGCTGGCCCAGCCCTGATCTCTACAATGATGGCTAGAGTAGGAGGTGGGAGGATGCTAGCTATGCACTAAAGAGGCTGGACAAAGAAAATAGTGTACTTAGGTCCTATGGCCCCCCAACTACTCTCCTAGGCATACACACCAAAGCAATTCTTCCTCAGGTCTCTAAAGAGTAAGAATGAGAATTCTTTCTATGTCACTGTAGCAGATGTCCATTGCTAGAGGAATGGAAAAATAAAATGTGGATATATACTATACAATATTATGCAGCAGTTAAAACAATAATGTCAATGTAAATCCAACACCATGAATAGTCTTTAAAGGTTTAGTGGTAAATTAAAACAAACAAACAAACACCAAATGAGATTTATGGCACAATATTACTTATAAAATTGCTCATTTGCACCCAATAACACTAAATACCCTATAATGACACATGCCTCTTAAGAACATATATCAAACACATAAGGAAAGCATGTATAAGAGAGAGGTGAAAATTAAAACAAAAACAAGACCTTTCATGAACTGATGATAATAGTTTGCTGTTATGTTAGGAGTATTATGTTAATTTAATTCTCTGCACCTGAGGGCTGTCAAAAAGAAAAAAATATATGTGGCCAAACCCATGGGTACATAGACATCAACAATCAATCATATTCCTCTTTTCATTTCTAGTGAGGTACAGCTCCCTGCCCTCTCTCCCCACATTTGCTAGACAATGTGCATTATTTGGAACGTATTTTGGGTTGGCAAAGTTACTGACCTTTTTCAGAAACAAAATTGTAAGAAAATTACACAAATTTGAGATTAAAGTGAGTATTATGATCATAAATGGAAGAGAAATCCTGAGAATTAATGGTGGTGGCCAATAGCATGTTGGTAAAGATTAAATAAAAATGCACTCATACACAAAAAAAGAAGAGTCATTTGAGGATACTACCAGGTAGTCCTCTTACTCCTTTCAATACTGTTCAGCCTGCCCAACTCAAGGGAAGCAGGGAATTGTAGGAATAAGAAAGGAAGAAAAATGCCTTAAATAATCAAAAGACACATCCATATGGCCAGATTAAAGAACTACATCTATGATTTCCCTTAAAATATGGTGCTAAAAACATCCGTGTACATGATAAACTATCTACTTCCTTTATGAGTAACTAGAGCAGAGTAATATATTTGTGTTTTTCTTTTTTTGTCTTTGGCTTGGAGGATATTTAATGTTTAATTTTGTGCTCAAAGATATTAAAGGCAGTTAGAGAAAGGAGCTTTGGTTGAACAAAACAAAAAGGTAAATACTGTAACATAAATGAACCTTGAAAACATTAAGCTAAGTGAAAGAAGCCAGACACCGAAGGCCACATATGATATGGTTCTATTTATATGAAATGTTCAGAATAAGCAAATTCTTAGAGACAGTAAGTACACTAATGGTTTCCTAGGGCTGAAGAAAAAGAGGAAGTTTAAGATGGGAGGGGGAAAGGAGAGTGACTGCTAATCAGTATGAGGTTTCTTTTGGAGGTGATGAACATGTTCTAAAATTAGACTGTGGAGATGATTTCAAAATTCTGTGAATATATTAAAAACCACTGAATTTCATACTTTCAAAGGGTGAATTTTATGCTATGTGAATTATATCTCAGTAAATAAATATATGTAAAAGACCACATTAACAAAAGGAGAGTTATGGTCTCACTAGGCAAATAACCATAATGTGGAAATAAGAATGTACCTTGGAAATTCTGGGTTATGCTACATGCTACTTCTGACACTTGTAGTAGTTATTATCTTGGACTTCAATTTCTTCATCCACATTTAAAGTTATGAATTTGTGGTATATGAACTCTTAAGTTTCTTTTAAATATAAATGTTAAAATGTGTTAGTATTTTATAATGCTAATGTAGATTCCCTTGGTTATCACTCAAAGGTCAAGAGTATCTTTGATTCTGAAAGTTAACACAACAAGTATGGGAAATGAAAAAAGTCAAACACAGCTCAGAGCTGGTCATCTCAGAAACAAAGATCTGGGCTGGAGGAAAACACTGAGAAAGGTAGAAAAATCCACAGGAGTAAATGAAATTGCCTAGGGAGAATATATAAACATGAGGCTAGAAAGGGCTGAGGATTTCCCATCAAAAACATTAATGCATTATCAAGGGCATTAACTAATTCATTCAACAAATATTTACTGAGCACCTACTATATGCCAAGCAGAGTTCTAGGGGTGGATCTATAGCAATGAAGCATAACAAGTCTTTGTTCTTGTTGTCTTACATTTTAATCAAGGGAAGGAGAATAAAAATAAACAAGTAAACAAATAAAAGACATTTAGATAATAATAAGGGATGGAAGAAAACAAAACAGAGTAATACGCTAGAGAGCAATTTGACAGGAGGGTAAGGTCAGTGCTTTAGATAGTGGTCAGAGGAGGCTCACATGGAAGGTGGTATCTGAGCCGAGAACTGAGTGAAGAAGGAGCCAGCCCCTTAATGGATCTAGAAGAACAGCACAGTAAAAGGACCTCAGGTGGAAACAGGTCTGCTGTGTTTAGAACCAAAGAAGAGGCCGGGCGCGGTGGCTCAAGCCTGTAATCCCAGCACTTTGGGAGGCCGAGACGGGCGGATCACGAGGTCAGGAGATTGAGACCATCCTGGCGAACACGGTGAAACCCCGTCTCTACTAAAAAATACAAAAAAACTAGCTGGGAGAGGTGGCGGGTGCCTGTAGTCCCAGCTACTCGGGAGGCTGAGGCAGGAGAATGGCGTAAACTCGGGAGGCAGAGCTTGCAGTGAGCTGAGATCCGGCCACTGCACTCCAGCCTGGGCGACAGAGCGAGACTCCGTCTCAAAAAAAAAAAAAGAACCAAAGAAGACTATCTGGAGTGTAGTAAGTAAGGGAGTGAAAGATTTAAAAATGAGGTCAGAGAAGAAAGGAGTATTTTTATTCTGAGTGTGATGGAAAGCTATTGGAGGGATTTAACCAAGAAAGTGATTGGATCTCACTTATGTAAAGATCCCTGCAGCTGCTATGAGATCATATATATATATATATATATAAAATGAAACTATACCATGATACAGTTATTTGTATATCATTTTAATTGTTAAATGATAAAAACTGTAAAATGATATACAAATTAGTTTATCATTTTATAACCACTTTGAGCTTCAATTTCCTCACATGTAAGCTGGAAAAATACCTGATAGGATAGTGTTAAGGACCTTTCCTTGTCAAAGGCCAAAGACACATATACTAGGCCAGTCCCAGGAAGATCCTGAGAGCGAGTGAAAAGGAGCACAGACCTAGCAGACGCACATTTGTGTGGGTCTGTCTGTGGTGATGCGTGAATTCAGAGGAACTAGTGCCAATTATTCTTACGGTTTGGTGGTAGGATTCTGAACTACCATTTTTGATCCACGTAAGAAATTCAGGAAATTTCCTAGAAACCTTGAACCATTAGCTCTTTGAAGGCAGGGAATACTCTTATTCACTTTTGTATTTACTTCCTATCAGAATGCCTGGCACAGAGTAAGTGCTTCACAGGAGATTGTGTGTAACACAAAGAAGTTAATGCAATTCCACACCTGCCCTCGCACAAGCTCACAGTAAACTACCACTCCTTAAAGAAGTCATGTGACCTGACAAAGGGCGACTAAACTGATCAAAGAATTGGAAGCAATATGCTGATTGCAAAAACAAAGGCATACAGTGAAAACCTATTACAACATGAAAGATTTAGATAAGAGCAACATGCTTATTTGCCAAATCTCAGGATATCAAGCCTCTCCTTGATCTGAGAGGGAAAAGGAAAATTCTGCTTTGCTTAGCAGGTAATTTATGTATGGAATTCAATAACCTCAGAAGTGTTAAAGGTCAATTACCACACAAGGTGATTTGGATACCAGAAGGATTTTATGTGTTATCAAGCTCATTATAATACTCTGATATTAAGAAAAGAAA